TAATTGTATGTACTTTGTCCTGGAATGAAAAGAAGAATTCTTTGCTAGATGGATAGCACTTTGACTGCCACAATACAAGACATTATTTGTTTCTTGCCTAACTCTTCCAAGAAACTTTGGAGCCAAACCATCTCCTTTGGCTTACGTAACAACGACATATTCTGCTTCAGTTGTGGAAGAGAAACTACCTTCTGTAGTGAGAAACCCAACTCACTACAGTTCCTAGAGTATAGACATACCCTGTAGTGCTCCTTCTGATGTCAACATTTTCGGCTAAGTCAGCTCTACATAGCTTGTTAGTATAGTATCTACACCTTTGAAACAAAGTGCTTTGTTTGTAGTACCCCGCAAATATATGAGGATCCATTTGACTGCTTCCCAGTGTACCTTGCCCGGATTATTCATGTCTGCTAACAGCTCTCACTGCATGAGCAATATCTAGTCTAGTACAAACCATGGCATACATAAGACTTCCAATTGCTGAGGCATACGACACCTTCACCATGTGTGCACGTTCTCCTCTGTCTTTGGTGACTGTTCTTTGGAGATTCTAAATGAACACCTAAAGGTGTACTTACTGGTTTAGCATCTTGCATGTTGAACCTGATGTACTCAGCATGTGATAACATCAAAGTCCCCGACTTTGTGTCTCTCTTAATCCTCATCCCAATAATATGTTTTTGTTGCGCCCAGATCTTTCTTGCAAACTGTTTCGACAATTTTTTCTTCAAGTTTATGATCTCTTGCATGTCTGAGCCTACAACGAGCATGTCATCAACATACAATAAATAATGAAGCTGTTGTCGAACTTCTTGATGTAGCAACAATGATCTGCTTGGCATATGGTAAACCACTACTACTCATGAAACTATCGAACTTTTTGTACCACTGTCTACGGCTTGTTTTAAACCATACAAGCTCTTCTTCAACCTGCATACCATGTTTTTCTTGTTTGCCTCTATGAAGCCTTCTGGTTCCCTCATATAGATTTCTTCCTCCAAATCATCATGAAGGAAATCTGTCTTCACATCTAACTGCTCAAGATGTAGATTCTCTGCAGCTACAATTTTCAACACCAGTCTGATTGTAGACAGCTTCACGACTGGAGAGAAATTTCATTGTAGTCAATACCTTCTTTTGCTGAAAACCTTTGACAACCAATCTTGCTTTGTAGCGTTTGCTCCCATCGTGCTCTTTTTGATCCTGTAAATCCACTTGTTGTGGAGTACTTTCTTGCCTGGTGGTAATTCAACTAATTCCCACGTCTGATTTGACAAAGAGTCCATCTCATCTTTATGGAAGACTCACACTTGACTGAATCCTTACCTACATTGCTTCATCATAGCACTCTGGTTCACCATTTTTAATCAACAACAAGTAGTGCAAGAAGGAGAATAACACTGGGTTGGTTTAGGAATTCTGGAGGAGCGTCTCAGTTCTGGTGTGCCTGGTTCTTCTTGAACTGCTTCAGGAATGATCTGAACATCATTTCTATAAATCTCCTCAAACTCAACAAATTCCTTTGTTTCAACTCGGTGTTGGACCTACTTGATTCTACGTTGACATATCTTTTTACACCACATTCTCATTGAAAATAACATCTCTTCTTCTGATGATCTTTCGATTTTCGTAGTCCCAAAACTGGTAACTGAACTCATCACCACCATAACCAACAAAGACGCATTATTGTGGACTTGGCTTCAAGTTTACTTATTTTAGCATAATTTATGTGTACATAAAAAAATACAACCAAACACTCTTAAGTGTGAAAGGTTTATTTCTTTCTTGCTCCAAAATTCCTCTGGTATTCCACCATCTAAAGGAACTGAAGGCCCACGATTGATCAGGTAAACTGCAGTGTTGATAGCTTTAGCCCATAGAAATTTGGGCAATCCGGCATGTATCCTCATGCTTCTGGCACATTCATTCAGAGTTGTTCATTGCGCTCTGCTACGCCATTCTGCTGTGGTGTCATGTGAACTATTGTCTCCATCTTGATCCATGTTTGCGCAGAAATCTCTGAATCTACTGTTTCTGTACTCTCTTCCATTATCAGACCTCAAACCGTTTGACTTTCAAACCAGTCTCATTTTCTACCATGGCCTTCCATTTTCTGAAGGTATCAAGACTTCTTATTTCTTCTTTAGAAAATAAACCCACACCTTCCTTGTAGAATCATCAATGAAGATGACATAATATAGTGAGCCCCAGAGATGGAACTGGAGATAGTCCACATACATCAGTATAAACCCAACTCTACTTTTCTGCCTTGGGTGTCTTGCCAATCTTTGCAAAATTGATTTCTTTTGTTTTCCAAATATGTATCTTCACATAGTCCGACATCTACATTCTTTAGATTCGGCAGCTTCCTTTTTAAAAAAGTGTCTTCATCCCTTTCTCGCTCATATGGTCAAGCCTTTGGTGCCATAGGTTTTGATTTTCCATCAGCATCTGCTACTGTAATGATATTCTCTAAATTTGAGGTTACATAGAGAGTACATGTCTTATCACGAGCAATGACGAGTGCTCCTTTGGTATCTTTCCATTCACAGCCTGAAAAGGTTGTACTATATCCTTCTCCATCAAGTTGTCCTACAGAAATCAAATTCTTTTGAGGCCTAGAATATGTCTCACTCCTTTCAGCTTCCAGGTGGTCTGGTTTGGCAACTTTAATCGGATGTCTCCTTTTCGACGATCTTCAGGTTTCATCATCAGCTAGATGAATCTTCCCAAAAACACCACTGACATAGTTCTTCATGATTTCTCGGCATGGGGGAGTGGAAAGATGCCCCTGAATCCAAGATCCATGATTCAATCGGACTGTTGACGCTTAGAATCATGGTATCACATTTCAACCTCTGTTATGTTGGCAGATTCTTGTACACCTATATCTTTCTTCGATGCTCGACAATCTCTTTTAAAGTGACCCTTCTTGCCACAATTATAATAGGTAAAATCTTTATTTCACGTTCTTGATTTTCCGCTTCTTGATTTGGATCTGCCACGATTTGAATTTTTTCTGAAGTTCTCCCTCTAGACTCCGTGTGCAAGGCTGAGGAGGTTATGCTTCACCCGATTCTCTCCATTGAATTTCTTCGCTCAATACCAGATCCTGAACATCGTCGAATTTTAATTTTTGTTTCTCGCGAGCTGTTGACTGTTGTAACAGTAGCATTCCAACTGTCTGGTAGAGAATAAAGAATTAAAGCTCGAACTTCATCATCGAATTCAATTTCCACGAACTCAAATGGGTTGTGATTGTGTTGAGTTCATTTAGGTGTTGAGCCTTTGATGCCCCTTCCGCCATCAGCAAATTGAATAATCGCCTCATCAAGTGAACTTTGTTTGAGCTGATGACTTCTCATACATACTGGAGAGAGCCGCCATAAGATCTGCCGTGGTCTTTTCCTTTTCTATGTTAAAGCAACATTGCGGGATAACGTCAGTCGATAACTCCGAGGGCTTGTCTGTCGAGAAGAGTTGAATAATCGCCTCATCAAGTGAACTTTGTTTGAGGCTGATGACTTCTCATACATACTGGAGAGAGCCGCCATAAGATCTGCCGTGGTCTTTTCCTTTTCTATGTTAAAAGCAACATTGCGGGATAACGTCAGTCGGATAACTCCGAGGGCTTGTCTGTCGAGAAGAGCCCAATCTTCATTCTTCATGCTCTCTGGTTGCTTTCCTGAGAGAGTTTAATATAGATTTTTCTTGTATAAAAAATCTTCAATCTGCATCTTCCAAAAGCCAAAGTCCGCACCATCCAACTTTTCAATTTTCACATTCCCTTCATCTGCAGCCATCGCTCCCACTCGAATCTGGCTTCGTTTGGATCGTTTCTGACAATTTCTGCGAACCACCGTGTATTAGACACCTCCTTCGACAAATTCTTATCACCGACAAAATTTTTACTATTCATAAAATTTACTATTCATGCAATAGTAATGAATAGTAACCTCGCAAAAATGACAAAATTCACAACCAAAAGCTCTGATTACCAGGTCGTTGAGAATAAACGAGTAATTTCCATATTGCTAGATTAGTGAGAATGCGAAATTAAGCGTAAAAATAATACCCGAAATTGATAACGTAGTTCAGCCAATTTTGCCTACGTCTCCGGACTGCTGCAGATCTTTTACTAAAGAGAGAAAATTTAGGTGTTTACAAAACACTCACTACTCACAAGAGAACTCTCTAAACTCTTTAGTATTGGGAGAAAGAAATGATTTTGAGATGATTTGAAGCTAAATGATTAGGGTATTTATAGTTGAAGTTTAGGGACTAATTTTATAGTTAACCCTATTTCTATTTCATAAAAAAAAATAGGGCACCAAATTATTGAAAACCCAAACCGACGCCCTCAATTTCTGAAAAATTATTGAAAACCCAAACCGACGCCCTCAATTTCTGAAAAAATAAGCCCCTTTTGTTGACTTATAATTAGGCGGTGCTCCCCCACCCTTTTTTGACTTTTCTTCAACATTATCTACTCTTGTTGGGGTTATCTCGGGCTTGTGGTAGTCTTCTAGCGTTTGTTTTTAAGTTCTGTTTGAACTATGCTTGATAATTTCGGCCTATGACAAAAATTGCTTATTCTAGTAAAAAGATTAGTTAGCTGTGCAAAAAAGAAAAGTGAGACCGCTGCAATGTCATTTTCGACACTTAATGAATTTTCTTTTATTCGGAAAATTGGATACGTAAAGGTATTTGTCATTTGGCGATGAATGTGGCAAATACACTCAGCTTCTTCCTGGTTTAGACGAACACATTTTTTTTCACAAACCATTTCTTTTACAAGGTTACCGATGGAAGAAGAACAAGCAAATCTAGGCAGCTCTATCCCAGTCCCATGCGTTCAAGAGGTGGCAAAGGGAGCTCTCGCCAAGTCCCATTACGCTATCAGCGTCCCGATCAAGACCCCATCGACACACCGTCAACGCCACAGCAAGTCCCGGTCATCGACATGCGAAAATTGATTTCCGGAGATTCAGTGGATGTTGAACTAGAAAAGCTGCACCTTGCTTGCAAAAACTGGGTTTCTTCCAGGTACAGAACTCTATAAATGTTTGTATGAAATTGAAAGCCTCTGTTTATAAACCCTCTATTCCAAAGGATGAACCTTAGTTGAGGAATCATGGAGTGAGCAGTTCGTTGGTGGAGAAAGTGAAGAAAGGGACTGAAGGATTGTTCAAGCTTCCCATGGAAGAGAAGAAGAGCTTTGGCAACGTCCGGGGAGCTCGAGGGATTCGGACAAGCTTTTGTTGTGTCCGAAGAACAAAAGCTTGACTGGGGAGACATGTTCTTCATCACTTGTCTCCCAACGCACCTCAGGAAACCTCACCTCTTTCAAAACCTTCCTCTCCCTTCAGGTTAATTATAATTAGTTTCTTACTTTTACTGAAATTATTCACCAAATTTCTTCTAAATTCTTTTCTTTCTTCTTTGATCATTGTTTCTTCAATTCTTAATCCCTTTATTTCTTTTTTCCCTTCACATGTCGTTAAGAATTTCTTATTAATTGTTTTTTCTTTTAATCATTGAGATCATTTGATTCGTGATTAATTAATTATATTTAAATATATTTGTTTGGTGTAGAGATGACATGGAAGCATACTCGGCAGAACTGAGAGATATAACCTTGAAAATACTTGGTCTCCTGCAAAGGCACTGGGGAGGATGGCGATGATATGAAAATTTTCGAAGGAGGTTGGCAACCATTGAGTGAACTATTATCCCCCATGCCCACAACCAGAGCTTGCCGTTGGCCAACCATTGAGATGAACTATTATCCCCCATGCCCACAACCAGAGCTTGCCGTTGGCCTTAGTCCTCACTCTGATGCTGTTGGCATCACCATTTTGCTTCAGATTAATGAAACTGGAGGCCTTCAGATCAAGAAAGATGGAGCTTGGATTCCTGTCAACCCTGCCTGGTGCTTTCGTCGTTAACATTGGCGATATCTTGGAGGTACACAGTCTTTTCACAATCTAACATCTTTCCATATCTGATATTACAATAAAGTACGGCTAGAATCATAAAATATATATATATATATATATATATATATAGAATAATAATTAAAATCGTTATATCATATTATTAAAATAAAATTAAATACCAAGTGTACTAAAACTATATAGATAAAAAATATATTGAGTCTTGATATTGTAATTTTTTACTAAAAAATTAACAGGCAATCTAAAAACTTATGATTTTGATCTTTCAAATTAACACATAAGATGTTACTCTCTCTTTGATGATGGAAAGTCGAAATAAATAATTTAAGTACAATGTGAGAATCATAATCCTGTATAACTTTATATATTAACATTAATTTGATTATTAGGTATTTATTCACATTTGAGTCATACTTATATTTTAAATATTGAAGTCCAGATAACCTCAATTGTATTAGATCATTTTTAATTAAATATTTTAAAAATATGGTATACAATATAATTTATAATTTGTTATATCATAAAAAAAATATGAAAGAGCACCTAATCTATGATAAATGAAATATTTTAAGTCGGATATGTAATCCAAAAGCTTATGATAACCGGCAACCCCTTCTGCAATAAGTTTATTCAGATGATACAAAAATTTTCCCTTTCTCTGCAATCATTAGGGGCATATACATTCGCCACCAAAACACTCAATTTCAAACTTGGCATGTAACATTCCACCGCTCCGCTAGAAACCTGTTACTCATCGCCTTTTTTACAGAGAAGAAATCGCCCTCCCACAACTAACTAGACCTCCAGCCGCTCCTTCTGACGGTACAACTAAATTTCATCAAACTTTCTCCCTTTAACCCGATTCAAGGACATGTGCTTGTTGAAGAAATTTCGATTCTTGAATTAGCACCATCTTAGCTTTACTACTCAAAAATAATTTGTTCATCGACCTTACCTTCTCAGCTTTACCCATCCCTCTCACATTCCAAGTAAGAATTGAAAATTCATATATATACAAGGGTTTAAAACACATTCGGTAATTCTACTCACCTTGGAGTTCAGCATCTGATCTTCCTCTAACTCCTCAAATCTCTTCGCTACTTTTGCGTCTGGAGCTTTGAATATGAAACCTAATGCTTCTCCGACCGTTAGCGAGATCTCAGCTTCTGAATCTTTACCTACACCGCCAACTTTTCCTTCTACCCTTCCCCACTCGCTTTATTCTTTTTGTTATTCTTCTTTTCGTTCGGGAACTCCCTCCTCAATTTCCTCTTGAGTCGCGATTGAATTCATATTGAGCTCCACACTTGTACTGCATCTTCTCTAGAACACCCAACCGAAGGCTCATATCTCACATGCTCTGCCGCCTCACCAGAAAAGGACAAACAACAATGTCTACTACTTCAATTGAGACATTTTGAAAACGAGCTCCATTGAGTGGCAAAATTTGTCTAATACAAGTTTTGGAACTACAAAATTAAATAATACAGATATGTTATGGAAAAATATGGCAAATTCCATTAAAGATGTGGGCAAAAACACTCTTGGGTTGTCAACAGGGAAGGTCAAGGAACATAAATAATCGTGGTGATGGAATGAAGAAGTCCAAACTAAGGTGAAGAGAAAACAAACTTGCTTCAAGGAGTTTCTACAATGCAATGACGACGAAGAAAGATCGAGAGCTAAACAAAGATACAAGGACGCAAATCGGGAAGCCAAGAAAACAGTGGCTAAAGCAAAAGGATAAAGCATACGAGGAAAGTACAAGAGATTAGACACCAAGGAAGGACAAAACGACATCTTCAGGCTTGCAAAATCCAGGGAAAATAGGGAAAAAGGATCTAGGTAGCATTAGGTTTATTAAGGACAACAATGGTGTCTTTAGTTAAAGATCATGATATTAAGAGGGTTTAGGGTAGTTACTTCTTTGGCTTATTTAATAATGGTTCCTCTCCCTGTAGAGATAATATCGTTGATGGGTCAGCCGACTATCATACTACGGCCAATGACTGCCCTACAAGTAGGATTGAGTTTGAGGAAGTCAAAATGGCTCTTAGAAAGATGAGGAGGGACAAAGCTGTCGGTCCAGATCAAATTCCTATCACTGTGTGGTTGACCCTAGGAGAAGAGGGAGTTAAGTGGTTGACCAACATCTTTAATATTTTAGAGACTGCCAAGCCAGAGGAGTGGAGAGAGTCTACGGTGATACCAATCTATAAGAATAAAGGAGATCCCCAACGTTGTGGCAACTACAGAGGTATTAAACTACTCAGCCATACCATGAAGCTATGGGAAAGGGTAATAGAGGCTAGGTTGAGACAGGTTACTAGGGTTTCAGAAAATCAATTTGGCTTTATGTCAGGCAGGTCTACTACGGAGGCGATTCATCTACTTCGACGACTTATGGAGAAATATAGGGAAAAAATAGTGATCTTCACATGGCGTTCATTGACCTTGAAAAGGCGTATGATAGCGTTCCCCGCGATACGATCTGGAAGACCTTGGAAACGAGACGGATCCCAACTGCTTATATCCGGGTGATTCGTGATATGTACTGTAGATCTACTACTACCGTCATGACTACAGTTGGCGACACCAAGGCATTCCCGGTGGAAATCGGACTCCACCAGGGGTCGGCTCTTAGCCCTTACATCTTCACCTTGATTATGGACGACATCTATTGTGCGACACCAGACGGTTGTTTCATGGGTATGCTTTTCGCTGACGACATTGTCCTAATTGCTGAAACAAAAACTGAGCTGAATAGTAGACATGGTGTATGCTTTTCGCTGACGACATAATTGTCCTAACTGAAAACTGAGCTGAATAGTAGACTTGCTACTGGAAGACTGCTTTGGAAGAAAAAGATCTAAGGATCAATATTGAAAAGACAAATTATGTATGTTCAAACTTCAGTGGAAACCAAAACGATAAAGATGTAGAAGTATGCATAGAATGACACATTATCCCCTCAAATGATTGTTTCAAGTACCTAGGGTCTATGATACATAAAGATGGGGGTGTAGATGAAGACGTTACACACCGTATAAAGGCAGGATGGCTAAAGTGAAGGGCTGCTACTGGAGTTTTGTGTGACAAGAAGGTGCCTCTAAAACTAAAGGGAAAATTTTATAGCAATAAGACCAGTGCTGCTGTATGGATCAGAATGTTGAGCAATCAAGAAGGATCACGTAAGGAAGATATAGGCCGCAGAAATGAGAATGCTTTGATGGACATATGGTAGGACTCTGTGGGACGTGATACCTAACTCTGCTATTAGGATGTACTTGGGGGTGGTGCATGTATCCGAAAAATTGAGGGAGGGAAGACTACGGTGGTTTGGGCATGTCCTTAGGCGACAACCGTCGGATGCGGTCATGAGGGTAGAGTCGATTACATCGACGGTGTCAGAAGGAGAGGACGACCAATACAGTGGGAAGACTGCTTGAGATCTGATTTGAAGGAATTAACCCTTACCCTTACCTCTGATGATAGGAAAGTATGGAGACTTAAGACCAGGGTAGTTGAGTAGTGCGGTTCACAGCCATAGGGTGTAACATCTCTGTCTTCTTTTTAATGTCTTTGTAGTACTTTCCATGACTTCTACTTTATACATGTTTCTGTCATTGAAATGTATGAAGGCTTAGAACTAGGGTATCGGAGTAGTGTTGCCTTAGTTTAAGAATTAACTCATTTGAATTTATTACTTCTCGTAGCTTGTTATTATTAACTTCTGTGTATCATTTCTATTTATGTTTCCTCTTTTTAAATTTAGCTGGGTCTTACATTTTCAGTCTATATGCATAGATTTCTATGTAGGGAATTATTTGCATGGAATTATTTAAAGGGATTACTCCTCATTACAGACGCACATATCAAGACTGCATATGAAGACTGTTCATCTATGTATTTATTTATTTATTTATACACGCATTTGCATCTTATCTTTATTTTTAATTTTCTGACTGCCGGAGGTCTTCCACGGAAGCTGCTCTCAACCTGGCGTTAGGGTCAGCCTACTACCCTACCTCTCCCTTACCCCATTGCATATGGGAATCAGGGTTTTGTTGTTGTTGTTGTATAATTAGTTTCTTACTTTTACTGAAATTATTCACCAAATTTCTTCTAAATTCTTTTCTTTCTTTCTTTGATCATTGTTTCTTCAATTCTTAATCCCTTTTATTTCTTTTTTTCCCTTCACATGTCGTTAAGAATTTCTTATTAATTGTTTTTTCCTTTAATCATTGAGATCGTTTGATTCGTGATTAATTAATTATATTTAAATATATTTGTTTTGGGTGTAGAGATGACATGGAAGCATACTCGGCAGAACTGAGAGATATAACCTTGAAAATACTTGGTCTCCTGGCAAAGGCACTGGGGATGGATGGCGATGATATGAAAATTTTCGATGGAGGTTGGCAACCATTGAGGATGAACTATTATCCCCCATGCCCACAACCAGAGCTTGCCGTTGGCCTTAGTCCTCACTCTGATGCTGTTGGCATCACCATTTTGCTTCAGATTAATGAAACTGAAGGCCTTCAGATCAAGAAAGATGGAGCTTGGATTCCTGTCAAACCCCTGCCTGGTGCTTTCGTCGTTAACATTGGCGATATCTTGGAGGTACACAGTCTTTTCACAATCTAACATCTTTCCATATCTGATAATCACAATAAAGTACGGCTAGAATCAAAAATATATATATATAGAATAATAATTTAAAATCTGTTATATCATATTATTAAAAATAAAATTAAATACCAAGTGTACTAAACTATAGATAAAAATATATTGAGTCTTGATATTGTAATTTTTTACTAAAAAATTAACATGGTAATCTAAAAACTTATGATTTTGATCTTCAAATTAACATAAGATGTTAACTCTCTCTTTGATGATGGAAAGTCGAAATAAATAATTTAAGTACAATTTGAGAATCATAATCCTGTTATAACTTTATATATTAACATTAATTTGATTATTTAGGTATTTATTCACATTTGAGTCATACTTATATTTTAAATATTGAAGTCCAGATAACCTCAATTTATTAGATCATTTTAATTAAATAATTTTAAAAATATGGTATACAATAAATAATTTATAATTTGTTATATCATAAAAAATAAAAAATAAATATGAAAGAGCACCTAAATCTATAGATAAATGAAATATTTTAAGTCTGGATATTGTAATCCAAAAGCTTATGATAACCGGCAACCCCACTTCTGCAATAAGTTTATTCAGATGATACAAAAATTCTTCCCTTTCTCTGCAATCATTAGGAGCATATACATTCGCCACCAAAACACTCAATTTCAAACTTGGCATGTAACTTTCCACCGCTAGAAACCTGTTACTCATCATCGCCTTTTTTACAGAGAAGAAATCGCCCTCCCACAACGTAACTAGACCTCCAGCCGCTCCTTCTGACGGTACAACTAAAATTTCATCAAACTTTCTCCCTTTAACCCGATTCAAGGACATGTGCTTTGTTGAAGAAATTTTCGATTCTTGAATTAGCACCATCTTAGCTTTACTACTCAAAAATAATTTGTTCATCGACCTTACCTTCTCAGCTTTACCCATCCCTCTCACATTCCAAGTAAGAATTGAAAAATTCATATATATGTACAAGGGTTTAAAACACATTCGGGTAATTCTACTCACCTTGGAGTTCAGCATCTGAAATCTTCCTCTAACTCCTCAAATCTCTTCGCTACTTTTGCGTCTGGAGCTTTGAATATGAAACCTAACGCTTCTCCGACCGTTAGCGAGATCTCAGCTTCTGAATCTTTACCTACACCGCCAACTTTCCTTCTACCCTTCCCCACTCTCGCTTTATTCTTTTTGTTATTCTTTCTTTTCGCTCGGGAACTGCCTTCCTCAATTTCCTCTTGAGTCGCGATTGAATTCATATTTGAGCTCCACACTTGTACTGCATCTTCTCTAGAACACCCAACCGAAGGCTCATATCTCACATGCTCTGCCGCCTCACCAGAAAGGACAAACCAACAATGTCTACTACTTCAATTGAGACATTTTGAAAACGAGCTCCATTGAGTGGCAAAATCCCACAATCACCCCCTCCACCGAGATGGACATCCCACTACCCGCCAGAACCGGTATCTCATGCAGCCCATTGCTTCTCGATGACACATAATCCACTGTGGAAGGATTTTCATTCATATGACAAGGAGCATTGGTAACACCGTTATTATCAGACTGCCCTACGAACCTGTCCTCAACAGACTTCTCAGCATTTGTTTCGAAGCCCTCACCTTCTCCAAGTCAGCCACACACTCTGGAGAACTAAACTCCTCTCCGAAATCGTCTCTGAACTGACCATTCATGGGTGTGGTTCCATCAATTAATACTGGATCGTCTTCAAATTTCTCCGTTAAAGTTTTAATCGGCATGCAACGACCATTGACGTTAATCAACATTCTCTCTGGTATGATAGATACTTTCTGGACGGACACTAAGACTTTGGCGACATCGAACCGATTACGCTCGTGGGTATCCTCATCAATCTTCAACACCTCCCCCCGTTTGCTTGCAAGCCCATGAAAGAATTTGTCATTCCAAACTTGGAGCGGAACGACGCGAATTATTACCCACACCTTAACCTTTCTCTTCCCATCATTGCCCTCCAATAGCTCCAGTTCTTCGAACCACAAGCTCACCAGTTCAGACCTTCTATTCCAACATCTAACAAGCTCTTCTCTGCTCATAAACTGAATCACCGACAGAAGACCAGCCCATGGACACACTCTAATGTCGAAACCTTCTTCTTTTAAAGCATCTTGGACGATTTCAAGATTGTACATATTTTTTATCTGCCCAACAAGACACTGCCTCCTCCAAGATTGTTCCGAGTTTGAGATATAAATATGGTCTATGCTTGATTCCCGCTCGGTTGCAGGATTCCCCGCTACGTCATCCATCATATCAACATACACCATCTCCGCCTTCTTGATGTATCTCAAATCTCCGTTCATCTCCTTTCCGGTGCGCTCCCCCACGTCCGAAGTGTTTGTACCCACAAGCACTTCTTTAAAAGTTCAGTCATCTTTCAGAGCCGAACAATTTTTCCAAATCAAACCATCTCTATTATCTACCTTCGTTATCGTTTTTCCACCCATATTATCTCTGAATACCCTTATCTTGAACCCGTCGATTCGTCTCCCATCTCCCCTTTCTACTGTGCGATTAGCCTCAGACAGCTTATTAAATCTAACGAACCCAAACGTAGTTTCCCTCTCGGCCCTCTTTGCGTTCTTGTACGCGATATATACTCTTTGCACAATGAACCCACTTGCTGGTGCTTTCAACAAAGACTGAAACCCCCTTGCTTCGTCGCTCATTAACACACCTTGCCTGCACCAGTTCACAAACCGCTGGCTTCCAAGAGTGACTCTTCCGCTTTCATTGCACTGCGACTCTTGACATTCTTTTTTAGAACCGTAACTTTATTATAGCTTTGCACATTAAGATTAATTTTTAATACTTTCATTTTAAATATTGATGTCTAATTCATAATATCTATTTATAACAACAGTTATTTGCTTACATACTTAAAATAGATTTTTTACTATTAATCAATATAAAAAAATAAGCTTCTTTCAAGATTTTCTATTTTTTCAATTAGCTATTAATTTTATCTCTTTATTAATTTATGTTACATCTAACTTAAGTCAAACTCTAACATATTATATAGGGTTAGGATCCATTTATTATATAGGGTTAGGATCCATTTATAGTCTTACACTATAAATTTTTTTTAGTTTTATACCCTTTAGTATCGTTGGATGAGAGAAAATCAAAGGCTGAAATTAACTCCTTATTTTTTCAGTGAATATATTCTCATTACCTACTATTAATCTCAGCCTTTGATTTCCCTCATCCAACGATACAAAAAGTGTTACGTTTTAATTTTGCACTATGTAATTAGATCATAATCCTATTATATACATGAGTGCACGCGAGCGCGCGTTTGTGTGTGTGCGTGTGTGCATATATGTGTATGTATGCGTACACGTGTGCGTACGTATGTGTGCGTGTGTATGTTTGTGTGAATTAAAATTACTTAAAGAAAAAAAACATTTGTCAACATTTTTTATCTTCATTCACAAAACTCAAAATTTGAGATATAATTTTTTATTAGGAAAATTCTACAGTGCTCGACTAGCAGTGATGAGCACCACTAACGACAAGCATCATTAATTTAATTTATAAAAATGTAAATTCTAAAGGACTCAACGTATAATTATAAAATAGTTAAAAACTTAAAGATAATTTATTTAAAATAAAGGGTAACTACCTAACTATTGTTCATTTTTCATTTTGACCAATATTTTTGAAATTTTATCAATCAGGTCACTCAATTATTTAAATACATTCAATTAAACAACTTGTCGTTAATATTTAACGGAGAAGCTGATCTGGCAGTTAAAATATTTGGTATAATTACACATTTGGTCATTATTACTTATATCTATATTCTATAAATTTGGTCCTAATTTTATTAAATTAAAATAAACTTAACTTTCAAATATTTAATTTCAAAAGATTTTAAAAATTATGACATATTCTATATTTAACAAAACAAAATTTTTATTAGAAATTCCATTTATGGTTCTCAGAAGCATCCCGTTAATGGTACCATAACCTCTTTTGGCTTTAAGGAAAATATAATTGATTAGTCCATGCATATAAAGTTCGATGGACAAATTTTTTATCCTACTACTATTTGTAAATGACATTCTACTATAAAAGGGTGATATAGTCTAACATGTAAAACTAAGAAATTTTTATCCAGTAAATTTCTTATAGAAAATAGTGACATATATTTCTTTCATGTTTGCACAGTCTTCCTTTAAAATTTTAAAAAATCATCTCCTACCATAAAATTTTATGTCCATCTTTAATTAAAGTTTATACTGATAAGATTCTCAGTAGACTTAGCGTGGAAAATTTTGCACTAAGAGGTTGACATATAACAAATAGGGGTGTGCAAATTCGGGTACCCGGAACTTCCGGGTCGACGATTTCTCGGCCCGTGTCCCGACCCGGATGTTACGGGTACCCGATAATCGGGTACCCGGATTTTGTGGGTACCCGGTAATCGGGTACCCGATACCCGGTTTTTAATTTTTAATTTTCAAATTATTAATTTAAAAAAATATATACACAAATTTAAATGTTCGAAACTTCGAATTACATACTCTAATATCCAAACATAAAATTTAAAAGTTCAAAATACAAAATATAATAATCCATAATATAAATAATTCATTATATTTTATATAATTATATATAAAAAAATAAAAAAAAATAAAAACTAACCAGGTACTCGGGGTAACCGGGTACCCGGAAAAACTAGATTTTGAGACCCGAGCCCGACCCGGGAAATATCGGGCCGGGTACCCGACCCGGCCGGGTAATTTTTTTAGAGAATTACCCGGTTTTTTTAGATCTGGGTCGGCGGGTCGGGTCAACCGGGTCGAGTAATTTTGTGCACCCCTAATAACAAATGGGCAATAAATTTAGTTTGCTTTAAATTTAATATCGTAAATTATTGCTTGAGTTATTAATTTTTTTAGAAGAAGAAAAGTTTTGTTATTAAGTTTTTTTGTTATAAATATAGAATATGTTGTAAATTTTAAAATTAAAATCAAAAGTTAAATTTTGGGAACACATGGTTCCATTTGATCTGAGGGTTAAGTTTATTTTAATTTGTTAAAATTAAGACCAAATTGATAGTATATATAAGTAACAGTAACCAAAAATGTAATTATACCAAATATTTTAATTGACACATCAGCTTCTCCGTTAAATATTAACAACAAGTGGCTTAATTGAATGCATTTAAATAGTTGAGTGACTTGATTGACAAAATTTCAAAAATATTGGTTAAAATGAAAAGGGGCAATAGTTAGGTGGTCACTGTATAGTTTATCCTTTATTTTAAATAATTTATCTTTAATTTTTTAACTAATTTATAATTATAAGTTGAGTCCTTTAAAATTTAAATTTCTATAAATTAAATTAATAGTATTATTCGTTAATGACATTTATCCCTACTCATCAAGTGTAGAAGAATCATCCTTTTTATTAACTCTTGATATCCAATAATCATATAGTTCCGACTACTTTATAACTAGGTCGGAAACTTAACAAAAGGAAAATATCATAGCATACATTTTCTCTATCATCAACATTTGTAACCATAAACATTAAGTTATTTTTGCTTTTAGTAATCATATTTTCTAGTCATATGGACTATTGAGCTATCATTTTTAAGTTGAGTCCAATTTTAAATAAATAAAAAATCGTACAATATCTATTTTCTCCACTCACAATAATCGAAATAATAGATATCAAATTGTTTATTCTCATTAACAGTTGGTATCATGTTATCACATTATATCAAAGCATACATGAATCATATTTATATAAAAGATAAAGTATAATAGATGTAACATCCTAATTCAGTTTGACCCGAAGATTCATGGATCACAATGTCACGCCGGACTACTGAAATAGTCACCCAAATTTTTTTCTTTAAAAATTGTTTTTAATCCATTGAAATAGTTCATCCATGAAATTTAAAACAAACCGTAGTAAAAATCTGAGTTTACAAATATTGGGAAGCTCCCAAAATATATCCAAAATAAATACAGTACCAGTACGAACCAAAGTTACGACTGAATATACAAAAAGGTTCCATAAATAGTACATGCTCTCTAAAGAAAACTCAAGACGTACTCAGATAGTCACAGCTGGTCTAGTCTGCTGCACTGGAATACCTGCTGACGATAACTCCCCACGATCTGCCCTATGAACATGCGCATGGAAACACATTCCGAAAGTTGAGCTTACGAGCTTAGCCATCTCTAATAATTGTACTATACTATATGCATTCATTTAAAGAACTGACTAACGACACATGTCTGAAAAATGCGAAGACATAATATATTAAAAACCTAATCTGCTAAACTGGGGTAGACATCATGGTGCGACAGAGGGATCCTATCATCTCGAAGCTCACACCCCTCTAGCTTACCGGGTGGGAATCCAACATTCTGTCATCGAAAACGTATACCTGCCAACCACTCTGTCGAGTCTTGGGGCATCTGGCGCCCAATCAGCTATTGAAGTGTCATTGCACTGACTTGGATCCACTGACTGTCGTGTTTCTGCTAAGAGTAATTCAGGTGTCCTAACTGTTTCCCTAGTGTCAAACAATGCTAATTTTATATAGACCTAGCTATTATTGTTTCTATTTTTATGATATAAATTATTGTTATCACTTGAAGTTTCATTTGATGTTATTCAAGTGTATTTGTGGGTACCTCGAGTCTGATCCCTTAACCCTAGCTTATTTATCAAAATCAGCTCATGGGTACCGATACTAACCCATTAGTATCAATACTAGAAACTTTGTATTGATACCCACTTGCTGGTATCAATAACCCCTGACTGAATAGGGATGTTTGATTAAGGTAGTATCAATACACTAGACTGAGTATCGATACTCTAGTGTTGGTATCGATACTAAACTAAGTATCGATACCAAAATTGGATTTGATGTTTTGAAAATACTCCCAATATCTATACCCCTTCCCTGGTATCGATGCTCTATATGAGTATTGGTACCAAAATTGCTTATTGTTATGTTAGTCTCGATACCAAGACATCCAATATCGAGAGTGGGGCATCAATATCGATACTACCCTCAAAACTTGCATGTTTTATGCATGATGGAAGAACAATATGGATATTGTTCATATAATATCCATATTACTACTACTACGGGGTACCCTGTTTTGGCACGAAAAATCCTATCTTTCTATCCCAAAACCCCTAGTGAGATCCCCAACTAATGTTTAGGTATTTTATTTGATATTATGGGCCATAAATAGGTCTAAAAACATGTTGAAACACCCACATTATGAAACTAAAGTGAAAGAGTGAAGTTGAGAGGTTAAAAGAAAGCTCAAATGATGCTGAATTCGTTTCTTACCTTCTTGTTGCTGAAAATGCTTAAAGGAAAATAAAGTTTCCACCTTTTACTAAGAATACTAAAGAATAAGATGAATGATGCATGGGAGAAGAAGACAAAGTTTGAGAGAAAAAGAGATAGGAGAATGCAGAATTTTAGATCACCAAATTAATTAGTTTTCAGCCTTTTCTTTAAAAATTGGTCTAATTACCTCCTTTGTCCCTCAAGCTTTGGGTTGTAACTTAAAAATACCATTTTTAATCCGTAATTGAGCCCAACTCAAGCCCAATTCCACTTGTTTTTAAGTCAAGGCTTCCTATAAGTCAAGGAACTCACCCAAATCCCATCTCCGGTTGGCCCAAACTCCCAACCCGGGATCCGGGACGTTACAACTCTCCCCTCCTAAATAAAAAATTCATCCTTGAAATTTACCTAGATAGAATAGGAGAGGATACTAAAGTTACATATTTTCCTCAGTTTCCCAAGTTGCTTCCTCGACGCCATGGTTCCTCCATATCATCTTAACTAAAGGAATCTTTTTGTTCATTAACTCCTTGACATCTCTCGCTAGAATTATGATTGGCTCTTCTGTATATGTCATGGTTGGCCTGACCTCTATATGTTCCAGGGGTATAACATGTGATGGATTCAAAAGATGTCTCCTAAGCATGGATAGATAGAATACATTATGAATGCACTCAAACTCTAGTGGTAAGGCTAATCTGCATGCCACTGGTCTGACTCTCTCGAGTATCGCATAAAGTCTTATGAAGCAAGGAGTAACTTTCCTTTACGCCTGAGACGGAGTACTTTTTTTCACGGGGAAACCTTAAGGTACACCTTGTCCCTAACCACGAACTTGATATCCTTACGCTTCAAATCCGTGTAAGACTTCTGTCTTCCTGAAGCTTTCTTTAGCCAGCTCTGAATTAGTTGAACTTTCTCCTCTGTCTCCCTGATCAAGTCTGGCCCCACTATCTTACCCCCACTGAGTTATTTCCAACATAGCGGAGTCATACACTTACGCCCATACAAAGCCTCATACTAAGCTATCTGGATGCTCGACTAAAAACTGTTATTGTAGGCAAATTCCACTAATGGCAAGTGGTCCTCCCAACTATCCTATAGATCGATGATAGTGCCCTGAGCATGTCCTCTAGGATTTGGATAACTCACTTTGATTGGCTATCTTTTTAAGGATGTAAAGATGTGATGAAGTGTAGTTTGGTGGCTAAGGACTCGTGAAGGGCTTTTAAAAAATAAGAAGTGAATCAAAGGTCTCTGTATGATATGATAGAGGTCGGTACATCATACAACCTCACTATCTCATGGATGTACAACTGAGCTAACCTCTCTAAGTTATAGTTCATCCTAACTAGGAAGAAATGGGATGATTTGGTTAGGCGATCTACTATGACCCAAACTACGTCACGTCTCTGTCTGGTCGTCGGTAACTCGGTCACGAAGTCCATGGTTACTCTGTCCCATTTCCATTGAGGAATCTAAATGGGCTGAAGCAAACATAAGGGAACTTGGTGTTCTGCCTTAACCTGTTAACACACTAGGCACTTAGCGACGAACTCTGACACTTTTCTTTTTATACCCAGCCAAAAGAATAACCGACTAAGCTCCTAATACATCTTGTTACTGAGTGGACTACAATGTACCTCGTGGAGAATCTTATTGCGTAATTAAGTGTCTATGGGTACGCACAATTGACCCCTAAAGTATAACCCATCTCTATCACGTAAATCGAAACCTGGGGCCTCACCCAGATGGACTTATTCAATCTGAGTCTTCAATCGGTCATCTAAACTCTGTAATCTCTTGGTTTCACCTATCAATTCTAGTTTAACTCGTAACTCGACTAACAACCCACCATCACTAGATAAACTCAGTTGTGCCAAAAGGGCTCGCAACTTAGATATCGACTTCCTAATCAAGACGTTTGTTACAACATTGGCATTTTCTAGATGACAATATGTCACACAGTTGTATTCCTTAAGCAACTTGACCCATCTATGTTGTTTGAGGTTTAACTCCTTCTGCGTGAGGAGATACTTGAGCCTCTTGTAATAAAAATGAAGATGTGACATTTCTCACTGAAAAGATAGTGTCGCCAAATCTTAAAATTGAACACCACTACTACTAACTCCAGGTCATGAGTAGGGTAATTACGCTCATAAGGCTTAAATTGACGGGACGTGTAAGCTAAAACTTTACCCTCATGCATCAGAATGTATCCAAGTCCAGTAAATGAAGCATCACTGTAAACTATGAAGTCTTTACCCGATTATGGTTGAGTGAACACTAGGGCTTGGGTCAAGATGACCTTCAAATATTCGAAGCTATCCTATCGATTCTCATTCCAAACGAAGGGAACTCTTTTCTGAAGTAGTTTGGTTAACGGGGGTCAATTACTAGTCATCACCAACTTGGTTTTATCGACTACTCTGAGCTTAAGTTGTCTGGCTTTACACCTCAAATTGGCATCTTGCTCGGTTAGCTAATCCATCCCTAAGATCAAGTCGAACTCCCTTAAGGGTAACTCCATCAAGTCTGCTGGAAAAGTATGATCATGAATTCTACTGGGCATCGTTTGAACATTTTGTCCACCAGGACGTCTAAACCTAAAGAGCTTGAGACTCGAACACCTATCTCTAGGTTCTCTGCTAGAATTTTTATTTCTTGAACTAGATCAAAGCAGATGTAAGAATAGGCGGAATAGGGGTCTATGAATGTAGTAACTAAAAAAGAAAAGACGGTAAATGTAACTGATATCACATATACCGTATGAACCTCATCTCGGGCTCGTACTGCATACTGTTTGGAGGCCACTCTAGGCTTTACATCAGCCACTGGTCTAGCTATCCCACAACTCTGCTATCTCGATACAGTACTATCATCCCTAGCTGGTACTCGGCCTCTTGTACTGATGGTGCAAATCTCTGAGTAGGAGCCGGAGTCGCTCTCTGAACTCTTGAACAATCATGGCTAAAGTGACCCAAAGAATCGTGATTATAGCAACCCTCAAAACCCTATTGACAAGTCCTTATGTTCCTCTTCCCACACTATGTATAAATAGAACGAGTGAAACCTCCGGGAAAGACGCAGGTACTAAAACATGAATCAAGCGCTAAAGGTCTCCTCCGGCTCTCGAATCTACCCCTCTATCTGAACTCTATCCAGTCATCCTCATTTGTGTCATTGAGGGTCTCAACAATCCCTGACTATCTCTAGCCCTCTTAAAATAAAGTTTGTGATGGCCTCGCTGGCTCAGAGACTCTCCTGATATGCCTTGAAGTCTCGCTGAACTACTTAGCCTACCTATCTAAAGGTCTCTCAAATGCCTTCGTTTGGTGGGTCAACTGGAGAAGACTCTAGGAGGATCAACTACAAGATACGATAATATATATTATCGCGAATGTCTTCTTTGAACCGGTAACATCGATGCTCCTCTATCGAAATTAATTTCGAAACATATTTGTTGAGCCTAAGAAACTCCCGTTCATACACCATCACTCAACGGTCACCCTGAATCAGGTACAGGAATTACTCCATCATATCATCGGTGTGAGTTTGCTTGATGTACTTCTGCCTGAACTCCGAAAAGAACTACTCACATGTCGACCTCTCTGGCTCCATAATTGCCTCAATTGTCTCCCACCAATCTATGGTGTTACCATTGAGCAGAGAGGTAACGCACTCAATATTGCCCTCTAGGGTAAGGTGAAACTGTCAGAGGGTGTGAAGCATATCTTTGAGCCATTGGTTGTAGGTTATATGATCATCATCTTCAGTACCGAAGTACTCGGTGGTCTTGTATCGGCAGAACCGCTCTATCGGGGGCACATAGGGTATAACAACTGGTTGTGTTGGGGTACTAGCA